CAGCGCCGTTAGATCGAATGCGAATAGGTTACGAATAAGATCCGAAACGACTCTGCTCGCAGGGTAGCTGCGAAAGATCTTCAGAGAAATCGAGTTTTTGTTCATTATGAAATACAAACGCACAACATGCACCATCGGAGGGAGTCTTATAACCGGAATTTTCCGGCATTTCCTTAAGCTTCTCTCTTGCCCTCCCAACTTCACCCGTACATCGATTATTCACAATAGAACATGAAACTGTTGTTAAGTATTTTGTTCATTATGCGTTTTCAACTTCCGGTGGATTCATATGCCATCTATAATAGTGAAAAGAGGTTTGAGTCACTAAAGGAGATGACTGCAGGGTTAAGGTGCGCGTCTGAATTGCAGTTGTTGTCAAAAAAAAAAATCGGTTTCCTAATAATTTTTAAATAACAAATCCAAACAAAGAGAAAGTCAATTCGTAGAATCACTGATACCTTTATTTATCTTTATGATAATCTAACATGTTATATAGCAATAAATATGATTTTAAACATCTATCAAATTTTCACATTATCATTTGAAATGTATTGTATTAAACATTATTCAACCTGAGACGCTTTTCCCTCCGAAAGTGGAAGGACAGACAAGGACTCTGGTCTTGGCCGGTACGTTCTGCTATGTCATTGGTCCTTTGATAATATAAACCAAATAAAGTAATTCAGTAGGAATAAATTTCGATGGAAAAAATGCCGGCTATGTAAACCCCCAAAAAGATTTCTGCTCAAAATTCTTTGAGGAAATTGCATTTGTTTTGTTTGATTTCTTTGTTTGTTCGTTTGCATTTCACTATTTTTTCTTTATGGCTTTTCCCACCCTTTCGAAACTTTAAAAGGCGCCCTCGGAACGAGTTTGAAGTGTTCTATTTCCGAACGGGAAACTCCCTTGAAATAAAGGGCCTCTTTACGTTCTAATATGCATAAGCTTGTTATTTACATAAAGGATAAAGGTTAACCCGAGTGACTAATTATATATAGACAGCAGATGCAAGGAAAATTAACGATATTACATTTCGGTATTAATTCATACCGTCTTCACACTCAGTTACACAAGATTCATCGCCTGGTAGATTTTTTACCTAATTTAACCAAATCGTTCCCTACCGAGTCATGAAGACTATTAACTAATTGACATTCAAATGTTGAGTGCTAGAAAATCGCAATACCATAATCGCACTCAAGATGGTAAAACATGACTGTAAATTAAATCGTCAATTAACTTAACATCAGTTTTAGTCACCTACTCTGAAACTCAAGATATAGACAGTAAAACACCTGCTCTACTTTTTTTTTCCTAGAGCACAGCATCTTATTTATTTTCCTTTAAACTACAGTGGAATCGCGATTTCTCGAACCCCATTTTTTCAAACCTCTCGATAACTCAAACCAAAACTACCTTTACCTCCGATTTCTCGAACTCTCCGATTTTTCGCACCGATTTTCGTTTCCATTGGAGGTTCGAAAAATTGGGATTCCCATTGTATGTTCATCTGCTGTAGGTCAGACTTTCTCATGACGTTAATTCTTTTGCTTTCTCATCGTGCTCGTTCATCTATAAAATGTGGGTTAATATAATGTTTGAAAACAACAAAGCTGGGCAGGGAAACTGGAATAGCTTTTTATAGTATCTGCATTACATGTCATGAAGAGGAAAAACTGCAACTTGTCTTTGTTGCTGAGGTCGTTTGCGAAAGAGAGCAAGCAAAGCTGATCTGTATTCTGGCATGCGGATAGCGTATAATATGGGATTTACAAGAGAGTTTGCATGAAATAAAACCTTCAATGCAGAATTTAAATGAAAAACCACTGAAAAGGACAGAGACTGCAATATTTTAAATTTAGAGATAAAAACGACATAATCCATTATAACGTGTGGCAGGTACAACAGGAGAGATACAACAGTCACAATCAACAATGTCATGGTCAGTTTTCTTTCTCTACTGGTTGCACCATGGTGTT